TACTTTATCAGTATATATAAATACTTTATAAATACTTTATCAGTATATATAAATACTTTATAAATACTTTATCAGTATATATAAATACTTTATAAATACTTTATAATACATTATAAATACTTTATAAATACTTTATAATACATTATAAATACTTTATAAATACTTTATAATACATTATAAATACTTTATCAATCTTTATAATACATTATAAATACATTATCAATATTTATAATACATTATAAATACTTTATCAATATTCATAAATACTTTATAAATACTTCATCATTATTTTATCAGCGGCAAGAATAAATAAAGACTTACGATGTTTCCTTATAAGTAGTTAAAGTTGAAGATTGATTATATTCTTCAAAAGTAGTTGTAAATTGTGACGGATTAATGGCCTGAGGATTTAATGGGTTTAAAGTTTCTGTTTATAAAATAAATCAAATTATATTAATGTTTATAAATGTCAATATCTGCGGATTTACAGAATTAACTTTTATTAGAATCAGATTTTTAGTAGCATAATATGTGTATCTTTAAAACTATTTAATAAATCCGCAGATATAGTTTGTATGATAAACTATTGGCTTTGCTTACGGATTCTTGTTGTGAGTCCAAAATAATTAAACGCATGCTTAGATGATTTTCTTGTAACTGATAAAACACCTTTCTTTAAAGAACCACCAAGTTCTGAATATTTAACTCGTTCTAACCATATAATTTGCCTCTACACAAATTAATATTTATAGATGTCAAAAGTAAAAATAAAATTAGTTAAGTAAAATTTGGGTTTTTTTTTGTGTAATTAACTTTCTTTTTTATAATTACCTGGTATGGCGAAAGAACATATGAATTAGTACCTTCAGATTGAAGTTCGGTTAATTTTGTGTCAGCATGTTTATTTTCGTTGTTAAGTAAATCTGGATCCATAAGCTGAATTACTGGGTATGATTGATAGGTTGGTAATGTATCATTTGGAAATGAATTATTAGCGGAAATTTGGAAATAAACTCCATAGGGCAAATTCAAAACAGTTCCATCAGTAAAATTGACACCAGGATCATAGTAAACATAAGCAATCAATGCGGTAGATGGATCACTTTCATTAAGTATTTTGTTACTACAGGAAGTGTCAAGGACACCAGTGGCTATAAAATTTGAAGACAGGATTAATGAAACAATGAAATGAATATAAATGCTAAATTTTATTAAGACTACTTACGATATAAGTAAGAACAGCCAACACTAATGTTAGAATAAGCTGATGTATTAAAACCAAGAATAACAACTGACAATTATAATTAACAGATTAATTATACATTAATGTCGAGATATTAAAACAAATTCTTTAAATTAATGTTGATAAAATTTACCTGGAGTTGGTATGCTATTAATTTGAGATCGAGAAATTTGTAGAAAAGGCGGGTCATAAAAACCCAAAATGAAAACGACGATAAAATATATTATCGCACAATAAATAAGGACAAGTGAAATAAATCTGGTCCAACAATAACATGGTGGTTCTCTAGGTGGGTCATAATTCTTATAATCTTCATCTGCAGGTGGAAACCAATATTTGCAAAGCTTATCACATAGCAGACTACAAGACCTTCCTTGAGCCATTTTATTTTTATTAAATTAAATATTACAATATTAATGAAACAAGAATTTTGTCTCGAAGTTTAAAAAATAGTGATGTATAGGGTTTTTATATAATAGATGCGTGTGTACATACGTACGTACAATGCGTACAGCTTTTTATTTTATATAATAATAACTATTATTATATTGTTTCCATTAAATTTTCAATAAAAGTTTCTGATCATTTGTCGGAAATTTGTTAGATATTCCTCGTCGTTGGCTGAGTTTGTCACACGTTCTTCGTTACTATTTTCATCAGCATACCGCTTACATATTTCCATTCATATAATTCTCAATCGTGCATTTTTTTTATTGGTCCTAATGCGCTCCTAATGTGCTCCTAATACTAACTATATCGATATGTCTCATTTCCTTTTTAATGAAAAAGGATAGTGATTTAGTGACGATACATTCTCTCGCGCATTCAATATCTTTAGCATTTTAGATTACTATCATAATTCTTTAATTTATTACATAAATAACCAAGCAATGATGGTTTTTCTAGTCTCTAATGATCGATGGCGCAATCATATCATTTTACAACTATTGTTGATTAGATATTTACAATTATTTACTATATTATTGATTAGATATGTTATTATCGGAGAATTTTTAAATTTTTATGTTAAATGCATTCTAAATATATCTAACTTTTGCCAAAAAAAAAAAGTTGTTCGATTTTTAGAATAATGATAATGAAAAGTTTGTACTACCAGGAAAATCGACTCTTACCAATATTTCAGTATTTTTGGAAAGTGCTCACCATAACTGTTCAATCAAGCATTGGTTACTGGATAAATCCGGTTGACATACATATACCGATACTGTATACGTTCGTACATGTTTACATTTTAACGGTAACAGTAAATTAACTATACAAAATTATTTAACTACGCAACATATAATTCTAATAATTTTTAACTCAAGGTTTATCGGTTATAGCTGTCTACCTTAAACATTGTTACATTTATCTTTGATAATCTTTCACTAGTATGAGGACAGGAAATGCTATAATGACTTCCAATTATAAATCTTTAAAATGGTTTTTAGTTGATAAACTGTTATTTACACATTGATTAAAATTGTTGAAATTGAGAAACTTGTTTTATTCAGTTCAAGCCTTTATCCACATACTGTAATTAGAATTTGTCTGATGTATCTAAAGATTCTTTAAAATTTGACAAAGTAAATTGTCGGAATTTTAAATAATGATAGGAGTTTCAACCCTGATCTGGATATAGTTGACTATGTTTAGGAATGTTATTTAGGATGTTAATCACTTGTTCTACTCTATTCATTAATCGATTTTGTTATTGTTATACGTATTATAATAAATAAATAAATAAATATGCAGGCAGATTGAGTTGATTACTATATTTAGAATACATATCAATGAAGCATTACAAATCGATACGTATTAACGTTTAAATTTGATGAATTTAGAAATATCAATACTTACGTAGCTACTTACATTATAAACAAATTGATTTGAGCGATAATGCATGATTCATATTGCAGTATTGCTGTATTCTAATGCATTTATAAATATTAAAATTTTTAAAATGAATTTATTATATTCAAGAAACTTAAAATTTCAAATTTAAATATATCTGCAAATTACAATTTAATACCTGCACGTGTCTCTTACGCCATTTTAATCATTCGTAATTGTAAGAATTACTGTATACCCCTCTGTACGTGACCTCTTGTGTGTCATTAATTCACATTCATTGTCAGTAATAATTATATCACGACAGATAGACATACAGTATGTAAAACCAGCAATAGATATGTAAATTAATATGTGAAAACCACAATAGTCGAAAACATGACGAATATGTAAATAACTATATAAAACTCGCAATGACTATACAAAGCAATAGAATTTAAGAGTTTAAAATTTTATATACATTTCGAAAATTAGTACTACCCGTAAAGTGCTGACTCAAGTACCCGGTGTGATGCAATTTTTCAAATAGTGAAAAATTAAAATTCACGTATATTATACATCACATGCACATATAAATAGCATTTTAAAATATTGATCTACACTATTTGTCACGCCGGGTACTTGAGTCAGCACTTTACGGTAACACATATAATGTAGGAAAACTGCTTCAATTTAAACTAATGCTACTTTTTTGAACCTTCTAGTACCATATTCTCCTACATAACTAGAAAAACGGAGACATTTTGTGGGCTGGAGCTCTAATTATTAGATCTTACATTTCATAATTAAAATTAAGATAGTATTTAAATTTCATAAATTGCTATATATATTCATAAGTTTATATCTATAATAAATTTATAAAGAAAGTAATTTTGTTATCGTATATTTGGCAAACTTGAAATGAAGGTTAACAATATATGAACCCTTAATTCATCTATAAATGTAAACCGATTACAAATTCCTAATTTCTATTTATTACAGTATTAAATCTTAACACTTAAGAATTTTAGTTGTCCAAGCAAAATAAAATTTTCGTCAAGCTATCAATTTCTTTATCAACTTTTTTTAATTAGAATATCTAAAAGAAGGTGGATCAATTTACTATACAGTATGATCAATACAATGAAAACCAATAAAGAAATTATTTGACCTGATGGTTAAAATTGGGCACAAAGAGTAATCAATACCTGATTACAAAGATATTGGATCCATCATCGTTATTCGTAATCAATTAAGTTTTTATTTAGATTCAATTCATATGTTAATATATAATGTGATGGTTATTTAATTTTGGCTTTAAGATTCTCTTTTTTCCTATACTGTATTTTCTTTATTTTTTTAATAATATCGTTACTCGTTTGATGCAGAGTAATTCTTATTTTCTAATAAATAAACTACCGTATTCTACTGTAAATAAGCACCATCCCCTCTACCCATTTTTTTAAATGTCAGATTAGCGGAAATAACTTGGCTAAAGATCTTATTACAATTTTCGTTAATCTGACATTTAAAAAAATAGGGTAAAGGGATGATGCTTATTTACGATAGAATACGGTACTTATTTATCAGCTATTTTATTTTAAACCAAGATTTCAGTCTAATTTGGAATATACATAGTGTACTGTACGGAAGAACTGTAGATTATAAAATTTTGAAATGATACGATACAGTACGAAGATACATATATATAAAGATAATTTCGTACTGGATTGTATAGAATATGAAGTAAAAATCAATACAATACGAACTATGTATGTACTGTACCGTAAATACCAAGTCGAATCGGGGCACGGTTACAACTAATTTGACCTCTGATCTCATTTTATTTTGACATGTCTATGCAATGTAAAAAGTTGACTTTCTTTATATCGAACTTTTTTATAAAGAGCACACTCTAGAATAAACTTTTTTTAACAAATTTATTATAGAGTTGGTGTAGGAACATAGTAAATTAATTTTACAATGGACTTTTAAAATTTTTTTACTATATGAACTGGTAGCTATTATAGAAAATTACCTGTATACAATTTTTTTTCTTTTTATTTATACAGTATTTCAACAAAAAATAAAGGTGGTCTCATATATAGAAATACAAGAAAACACGATTACAACTCATTCTCACTATAATGGAGTCCTCAGGTTAGGAAAAAATCCACACTATAACTTATATCAAGAAAATACTAAACATATTTTCTAGATATGATTGAAATTTAATAATTTCTGCAATTTAAAACTCGTCATTATATCAAAGTTTACTGTAAAAAAGTAAGCTGTATTTTGACAGACTTATCTCTGGATTATTTGGGGCTATTTTGCAAAGTAGCTTCTTCGAAGATAGAGACGGGTTTAATTTTTATTTTTACTTATGGAATATTACATTCTTAAAAAGTACTTTAAAATGATTGCCCAATCAGAAGAAAGTTATCTTAAAAATACCGAAATAATGATCTACATCCTTACATCCTTGTTTTGAAAACGATAATGATTTACATCCTTGTTATGACCTTGTTATGACAACGATAATGATTTACATAAGGTACGATGGGTTCCTACCACTTCTACCATTCTGATTGGTTCTACTAATTATTCACATATCGGAGTATCCACCTAATTAATCAATATTATAATACTCCAATAGCGAAGTGGTGGAAAATTAATACGATCAGCGTACGATCGGTGTACGATCGGTGTACGATCAGTGCCATAAACATTTTACTAAAAAAAGTATCGATTGCTTGAGCTGCCGACACATCAAATACACAGTATTTTTCTTATATCAACTGCCAAGATATAACTATTACTTGCTCTCACACTATAAAAATCACCATTCTAAAGAATTTAATTCATTAATAATTATGACCTGAAATTAAATACAGCAAAAGAGTTAATAACATTGAGATTCTAAAAGCCACAATCGATGGTCGATTTTCTGAGCTGATTAAATAATAATCAACAAATTTATTGATCATTTCCAAAAAAAATAGAATTTTACTATAATATATAAAATATTATCAGTATGTACATTAGATCATACTATGAAACTTCATATTAGCTTTTGAGTTAGCCTCTTATCTAGATCTACGAAATATTTTGTGCTTCTTTTAGTTTTTACTTGATTTTTTATGAGGCATATGAATTGATTTTGATAAGAATATTTCATTATCAATAATTAGTATTTCGCTGCTCGTTATATCTAATTATTAGCTTGGACGGGATGGCAAATACCCATGTGTGCAGTCATTATACTCTTAAATCTTTCATTAGATTCAATTTATTCATCTCAATTCGGCGATCTATATATTTTCCAAATCGCATTACTCTTTATAAATTAATTGATAAAATCATGTGAAACTTTTCATTTGTAACAAAATTAAGAATTTTTTTCAGATTAAGCTAGATAGCTGCGAGACGTTCACGCGCAAATCAGGAACGAAAACCTAAAAGAGTTAATTATAAACTAGTCCTAGGGTACGTCCTTACGTCCGTACTTTAGATATTCTAATGTAGATCATCTGACCAGTGTATTTCCCGTTGTACTACTGCAGTACTGGGAGGACGTCTAAAGCGGGGACGACTCATATTTCTTAATAATTTTCTCATCTTGTGTTAGGGTTATGTTAGGTTTTGAGTTGTTATATACAAGCAAAATTGCATTACCGACATTTTTACTTAACCCACCAGAGGTAGGTTAGACTGCCGTTTTTTGATTTTTTAGGGGTTTCGCTTTAGTTTTCTTGTCAAAATTCTATAATTTGATTGGCTGTAACCACGTGAATTTGCCCTCGCTGGGGTAGTATACAATTAGTTACACAAATCATGCATGCAAAACTGACCAATCAGATTCGTTTTATTCCGGACAGACAGTTATAATTTTAATAGTATAGATTTGACTGCTAAATAAAATCAAATGATGAATTTGCGCCTAACCGATTACTCTACCCTTCAAATGATTATTTTTTCAAATATCAAATCAATGTGACATTTATTACACTGATTTTTAGTATCGATATGCGATATATTCGTCAAGTAATTATCTAAGTGTACAATATTGGTAAATGAAGAAAAATATCGATTTCCATTTTTTTCAATGAAGTTAACGTCACTTCCATGTGTTGCTACTGTACAAGTGACATTAACTCTGATAAAGAAACTTTCTGTCGTATAATTGTTGTTTCAACCTCTACAAATAAAATCTATGAGCATGAATAGATTATTTTAGTTGATCACTAATACTCACATAATAAAATATCCCAAATTAAATGAAAATGATTAAGTAAGCGCACGTACTTCGATTATACTGTAAATTACAGTATAATAATATTTTGATAAACGACTATTAAACTTGTACTTACAGGCTATGTCAACGTGAATAAGAATAAATTAAATGAGAAGTAAATAATATAAGAATGACATCAAGGAAAATACATATAAATTTTATATGAACTAAGTTTAGTTTTCCCTTAGCGTCATCTATATATAAAATTAAAGAAGTGAAAGCTTACCTTTGAATAAACGATTGAAATAGCAATTAAATCAATACAAAAAAATTGAATGTAAACAAATTAAGTGTTAGCTTATTTTTGAATAATTCGATTGATCAACATAAAGAAATTGAATAAGAAATTATCTGCATTGATTAAAATCAATACGAATAATAAGATACGTAAACAAAATAGCTTATCACTACACTTATTGAAATAATTGGAGAAACACTTATGTATCAATCAGGTCGTGAGCACCAACGTCATATCTGCGAAATGTAGCAATCGGAAATTGTGACGTAATTCTTCTGATATATGAATCAGCTTTCAAGATTAGATGTAACGTAACACAATCAAGAAGATTCAAAACAAACGTTCGTTCTGCTAAAAATCGCTCATAACTCAAAAATCAGCATAAGAAACCACCTTTGTGCTCTAACAAAAGTTTCTCTTTTGACAATTTTACTATTAAAACTGGAATAAATCCTAAATAGAAAAATGAAAAATGACAAATATCCCGTGAATAGATATGAAAGTTTGGATATATTTATGTCTAAAATCATGCTTTTAATATCATTTATTACAACATTTGAATTAGGGTTCGGAATGGGCGGGCCGAGCCCAGAAACTTATGGGTTGGGCCGGGTTGGGCCAGGCCCAAGATTAAAACTTCAAGCTTGTAAGTAATTGGACCGGGTACGCGCCGGGCCAAAAAATATTATGCCGGGTTTGAACCGGGCTTAAAAATAGTGGGCCGGGTTGGGCCGGGCTTAATAGTGGGCAGGGTTTTGGCTAGCCCAAGCTTTATAAATAGCAATAGGCTTTGCAAAGCCA